AAAAAAAAAAAAAAAAAAAAAAAAAAAAAAAAAAAAAAAAAAAAAAAAAAAAAAAAAAAAAAAAAAAAAAAAAAAATGTTATACCAAAAGCGAATAAATGTCAGTACCCCATAAATGAGAATAATTACCTGAAACAAAAAAAGAAAAACGTCAAAATGAATCAATTAGCCAGTGGCGGATCCCGTGCAGTCGGCAATTTTCACCTGCAAAGCGGTGGTTTGTCCTCCTCACCAATTTTCCCCCCAAACATCTTCTCCTCAAAGGGGATAATTATAGGAGACCTGATTAATTCACCAATGAGAGTTGATGAGACATGGCCCCTTTGGCTGAAATCCCCGGAACAACCGCCACTCGACGCATCTAGTCCCGTCTAGACCGATAATTGTCTCTTCGAATTCGGGCCTCCGTGCGCTGTCGCTGTCACACATCCGGGCCAACTCCTCAAGAGATTCAAACCACCTTGCGACTGCTGGAATCTGGCCGAAGAGAGCCTCCTGTGAATGGCCGTGACCGGATGAGGATCCCTATTGCTGTGCAGCTAGCGCTGCTCGTGTTGCTGACAGCGGTCCTGGGAGTCGCCGTGTTGGCTATTGCAACGGTAGGGGATGTGCATGTGTGACAGCGACATTCACTGACAGGTGAAAGTGGTTTACAACATTCGATTTCATAGTAGGTGTCGAGTATGTACTCCTGTAGGATGGGTCGATTCCCGGTGGTCTCTAACCATTGCGCAGGTCACAGGGCCTCGAGCTCGTCGCGACCATCAAAGCTAGTCAGATCGCATCGAATTTGGACCTGCTCGAAACAACATGCAAGACTTTTGCCACTCGCATTTTGATTCAAACGGCGTTGAGACGTTACTATGCGGGTAATAACTCGGTCGAAAACTGGACGAATTCGATTGCCGATGTGCAATCCGCGCTGGGGGGCCGAGGATACCTCAGCCTGTACCAAGCGATCATCTACTCCAAAAACGGAGACGCAGGAGTAGAAAGCTTACTCAATGTGACAAGTGACTCGGTTCCCGACATCAATCTTCCATACAGCTATCCTAATGGATCCACCGTGAAGCTGGGTAACGAGGGACTGGGTTACCCCCCTTCGTTGTATCCAAATCTCACGTACCGAACGACAAGCGACAATGGATCTACCGCGGTTTACGCCTTTTCCGATTATACCTTTGGTTTAGCATCGGCCCTGCTTTTGGGCCCGTTGAAAGTCAACTCGTCGTTCTCTCTCGTCTCCTTGACGCTGCCGATTGTCAACAACACCTCTAATACTGAGATCATGGGTTTCATGACGTGAGTGGGAGCTGTAAGATCGAAAAATATTCTCCCGGTAACTAATGGGTCATGCCAGTGTTGTTGCTAGTGCAGCGAACCTCCAGAATGTGGTCAGTTCCCGAGACGGACTAGGAACCAGCGGGCAAGTGCTTCTTCTAGGACCCTCCCGACCCGCGAACGTGTTTGCCTCGACCGATCAGCCGGCGACGTCCACATCTGTCGCCCATGCCGAAGCATTGGATCGGGCGCAAGTCCACTATGTGTTCGAACCGACGCCTTTGCCCACCCAAGCTAGCCGACATGTGGGGATGTCAACAGATACTCCCTTTGCACTCTCCACATATCCAATGGCACTTAAGGTGATGCTTCAGCTATACCCTGACGAAAGTAATGCTATGAGTGACCTGTCAACAACGAATGAGCGAGGGATCAAGGTTGCCGTGGGCGCTGTGCGCCCCCAAAATTCCCTCGTCCAGTGGATACTTCTTGTTGAGGAGGCCCAGTCAGAGGCCTTTGCCCCAGTTGCTCGACTGCGTAAGATAATTATCGCCTGCGTATTCGGCACAGCAGGCGCGATCATCATCCTGATTCCTCTGCTAACACACTGGGCCGTTGCTCCGATTCGACGATTGCGAGCAGCGGCCCAAAAATCAGTTGAGCCTGAAATTGGTGCCCCCCGGGCACCTGATTCGCGAGCGCCGGGATATGAAGGCGAATACACGCAAAGAGAGGCAGTCGAGGAGCATGTGGATGAGAAAGGGTCGCCAGCGACATGGGTGAAACGCCTCAGACGACCTTCGGGATGGCTGAACAGCTCGACAAGTATCAACAACTCCGGCACCAGTCGTGGTTTCCAGATCCCAGGAAGAGTGAAAGAAAGAAAACATTGCATCACGGACGAATTGACGGACTTGACGAAAACCTACAATGCAATGTCGGATGAGTTGACCATTCAATATTCCCGACTGGAAGAACGAGTCGCCGAGCGAACTCGCGAACTTGAAAAGGCCAAGCTGGCAGCGGAGACTGCAAACGAAAGCAAAACACTCTTTATCGCCAATATCTCCCATGAGCTCAAAACTCCCCTCAACGGAATCCTCGGCATGTGCGCAGTGTGCATGGGAGAAGATGATCTATCCAGGATCAAAAAATCATTACAAGTCGTGTATCAATCCGGTGACCTTCTCTTACACCTTTTGAACGACTTGCTTACATTTAGTAAGAATCAAATCGACCAGGCCATTCAGATCGAGGAGAAGGAATTCAAGATCTCGGATGTCCGGTCGCAATTGGCGATCATCTTTCAAAATCAGGTGCACGAGAAGCACATTGACTTCAGCGTGAATTTCGTTTCCGGGGAGTTCAGTGAGCCCCAAGGCACTGTGTGTCGCGAGGAAGGATCAGGGCACCCTAAATTGACTCCAGCGCAACCCAGACTGGCGGACATGGTGCTATGGGGTGATCAGCATCGCATTCTCCAGGTGCTGATCAACTTGGTCAGCAACAGCCTAAAATTCACACCCGAGAGTGGAAAAGTGGAAGTTCGTATCCGACTAATGAATGAAGTCTCCGGGGTGGACGGCCAGTTGCCTCATCGGACCGCGACCCGGCAATCTTCCAAACTGCGCTCCCCCTCTGTGTCTAGTTCAAGCTCATCTATGCGCATTGCGCACAATACCAGTGAAGGCGAAGGTGAAGGATCACGAACATCCAAACCTAATCTCCGACAGGTAATATTCCAGTTCGAGGTGGAGGACAACGGACCGGGGATCCCCAGCCACCTCCACAGGCGCATATTTGATCCCTTCGTTCAAGGAGACCTGGGGCTTAATCGAAAGTACGGCGGAACAGGCCTCGGTCTCAGTATTTGTGCCCAGCTGTCCCGTATCATGGGGGGTGTCGTTTTGCTTGACAGCAAGGAGGGTGAAGGGTCACTCTTCACTTTGAAAATCCCCTTGGGGTATGTGAGGGAATCTGTTCCAAGCCCACGCACTGGGAGCGTTCCTGGATCGCGAACTCCCAGTGTTCTCTCACTGGAAGAGTTCTCAAACGCTGTGCGCACACCGTCAAATCACGGCTCAGTGCGCAATGATCCCCATGCACCAGGCTTCGAGAAGTCGGAGATCCAACCGCGATTGGTAGGCCTCAGTCAACCCTTCTTTGCGCCAACAGTACCCAAAACCCCGCCACCATCCGCCAGCAACCTACCATCAAACCATACCCCACGAGACAGTGTGGATGGGTCGAAGAAGATCCGGGTTCTGGTGGCTGAAGACAATACTGTCAACCAGGAAGTAGTCCGTCGGTGGGTACTCGAAATTTTTTGACTAGACAACACAGACTGATCTTTGACAGAATGCTCGCCCTAGAAGAGGTTTATGATGTGACAATCGTGAAAGATGGCCAGGAGGCATACGATACTGTCAAGTCAAATATGGAGAAAGGCGAGGTCTTTGACCTTATTTTCATGGATATTCAAGTAATGTTCCCCCCTCCCTCTCCAGCAAGAGGTACCAGAATACTCATTGAAAATAGATGCCTGTACTCGACGGCCTCGAGAGCACCCGTCTCATCCGGCAGATGGGATACTCTGCCCCTATTGTGGCGCTAAGTGCTTTTGCCGAAGAAAGCAACATCAAAGACTGCATGGATTGTGGGATGGATATGTTCATAAGGTAAGGATTATTCGCACGCTCTGAGTTCACACTGACCGTCGACTAAATAGTAAACCTATTCGAAGGCCTGCATTGAAGCAAGTTCTCAGCAAATTCTCCACCATAATCGAGGAAGTTGAGACTGGATCCTGAAGCTGTTCATTTTTCTCCACACGCAGTGGAACTGGAGAGTGCGAGACTTGATACGCGATGAGGATGTACATAGTAAAATTGGCAACAATTGAACATTCGGGACAAGCCAGTAATGTAAAGCATGATCACGAGTGCGTAATTATTCATTCCTGCTCTCTATATACCCAAAGTGACGGTGAGATCAAGAAACAACAGGTACACTTGTGTTTCTGTGAAGCATGTCACTTTCCATAAGACCACCCGTCCAGGCGGGGCAAAATGCAGCCTCCTTGCTACTGGCTTTATGAACACGTCCATTGATCATGATGATGTCTAGCCGGTCGTGCTGCCGCAAAATGGAGATATCCTGGAGCGGATTGCCATTTACCACCAAGCAATCCGCCAAGTTGCCGTCTTTAATCTGGCCCATTTCGTGCGAGCGCATGAACAGCTTTGCCATCCCATACGTTGCTGCGATGATGGACTCATGTGGCGTAAAGCCAAAGCGATCCACGAAATGCGCCAGATCTCGACATAGGTACCGTGAGGCGTCCAAGCAAATCCATAATCGCTGGAGTCAAGTCAACCGGTCATTCTTTGGAGCCAACCCTTGTCGGAAACCTCTTGACAAGACTCACCCTCCAGGAAGTACCACAATCCCCCTTTGGTGCATTTCTCTCATGGCACGATCTGCCGCATCAAGCTCTCTCTTGTACCCTACCTGTTCGGCCTTTTCGGTGGAGTAGCCGAACGTACCGGCATCGTACAGGGTAGCCACTATCCAGTTGATGGCAGGTGCAATTACAAGCTTCGACTTATTCTTCTCCAGTGCGTCCATACCTAGAATGACGAGTCAGATATGATGAACATAAAGCGCAGTGGTCTGGGATATACCCTTCTCGTCGACAAAAGATGCATGGTAGATCACATCCACTCCATGATCAACACTTTGTTGAATAGAATCCCGCGCCCGTGCGTGCGAACAGACACGCTTTCTATGTCGGTGAGCCTCTTGGACACATGCAGCTGTCTCCTCTGGGGTGAAATAGCAATCTTCCGCATCCCGGATTTCTGTGATCTGAGATACGTGTCAGCAACCCTGACACCACAAGCAATGGATATACCGTGATCTAACCGATTCCCCAGACATTGAGAGTTTGACTTGATCTACGCCAAGTTGGGCATGCCCACGAATACTAGCATCTTGTCAGAAAGGCCCCAAGACCCGAGCATATGAAGAATAGCACTTTACACTTCTCGCATTTCCTGGGCGCCATTTGCGAAAACAGTGATCCCTTCGACCAGCTCACCTCCCGCTCGCGCAATTTCCTGGCCGTTGGCTAGATAACGAGGGCCCAGGATATGGCCCGCATTGATCGCGTCGCGAACCACAATATCCAGCCTCTTCTTCGCCGACGCGGCCCCAAAGCACATGGTATATCCCGAATCCAAAAAGCATTTGGCACTTCTAGCCGTGAGTAGCGTGTGCTCTTCCAGTCCAAGGCTCCCCAATCGGTCTAAACCACCGTCGTTCCAGGTCAAATGGGTATGGGAATCCCCCAAGCCGGGCATGAGTATGCGACCATTGCCGTGGAAAACTCGCACAGAAGTATCTGCAAGCAATTGATCCTTATTAGGGACCTTACCCACATGAGCAAATCTATTGCCTGTGAGAATTACTTAAGTGTTTAGCATTGGCTCAAGGGGACTCGAGACATATATTCTTGCTCAAGTGCAGCAAACAGTGCCATCGTACCTGCAACTAGGACATCCCCTCTATACAGCTCGTGGCCGGTGGCTTCCAGGATTTCTACATCCAGAAACAGTATTTTGGATAACAGAGGGGTCCCAGCGATGTCATAATACGGGGGCTGAAGATGGGAATCGAAGTTGAGTTGATCAATACTGGCAATATTGCGAGGAGGTCCTTGATAGTTATCAGTCGAGGATACTGTTCTCCACGACGGCATTTTCACGACCTCAATGATAAAAAAATGAACTCCGTCGAAAAAGGTATGCAAGCCAAGTCTGTTAATCCCGCATGTACTTAAGTAAATATGGACATGCGGGACCAGGGCAGCACGGTGGCATCGCTTCGCGGGACGGCCCCCTACTCCCGCTGGAACCCTCATGTACGAGTCATGCATGAAGATCTTCGAGGTCAACGAATAGGATTCTTTGATATGCTTGACCTGAGTGACGCGGAACAGCAACCGTCGTTTCGGAATACCCCGCCACGTCACTCGATGGATCTTTGTCTCTTTCTCGTGTACGAGTATCCAATGGCCTTCTCACCAAGCCACAGACGTTTCAGGTACTCATTCCTACCCAGCTAGTCGCGGATGGGGAGACGCCCGCGGACTGGGGAAACAATTACAGTTCTGCGATATGTTTCAGACACGGAATATCTACATTGTGTTGGCGAGCGTTTCCGTAGGTCCAACTCGGCAAGCGACCGAGAGGCACCCTAGCGAATATAGTCAGCACAAGATTTCCACTGATAGACAGAGCCGTATAGAGAATGACGTCGAAATCGTGGTACGTCTCGACGTGGGAAGAATATATCATGAAACATGACCTGGTTATGAGGCGTGGCTATGAACCCTGTGGACACATTACGGTTTGGTATCTATCGATATGACTTGGGTGTACAAGCACCCTTTCGAACTTGCCTACTCACAATTTCAGGGAGCCTGGACCCACTCCCTTACATATCTCGACTGGCCTCGAGGACCTCAAGGCTGCCCGATGCATATGACAGCAACTCGTGTTCCCATGGTTCGACATGTTGGCAATCATACCCGGGACAATCCCGAACGAAATGATACCATATCCGAACTTGACACTGGGCTGGCATAGAATCAACGCGGATTGACTTGACACGAGAGGACTCGGGAATCACATCCCCTGGGCCCAACCCCTTGGATTCAATTTGGGTGAACCGCTCGGTCACAGAGGCGACAAAGTCGGTAGACCAGATTCCCTCCTGTCTACGCGACCCACGTAGCAATGCAATAGCTTCGCGACGGATGGCCCAGTCACGGCATTTGAGGATGACCAGACCCAGGGGGGCAGTTATTCCGATATTGACTGAGAAGGTCGGGACCGGTGTGTCGTACAACAAAGTCTCTTTCGCAACTTCAAGTACATGTGCGAACTGCTCTGTATACCCATCATATGCCATATCTCTTGGCTCGGGGCCTGACTCAACTGTCCCTACCAAGGCGAAGATCGAGGCCCATAGTTCCAAAAGTGCCAATGAGCTGAGATATCGGGGCGTTGCCAATTGGTTTGCATGTAAAGCACGGTGTGATTTAATGAGACTCGGCATGCTAGCAACCTGATTCATGAATGCATTTCGATCAATGTCGAGGTCGGGCGTGGGATTCGGATTAAAGCCTTTGAACCAGCTCTGCCTCGAAGATATGCGTGCGATTGTGACGAGGAGGTCATTCGATTTCTGTATGTCATCTTTGACGTCTTCGAATGCTTCAGGCACCAGAAGCGGAAGAGGCTCCTCTGTCTGAGACCCAGTACCAGTGAAAAGCGACCACACCAGATGAATTCCAGCAAACGCTCTCGTGATTGTGGCAGCAATCAGGCTCTTGTTGCCATTCTTGGTCAGGTATTGGTCTAGTAGCATATAACCGGACCACAGATGGCGACCAGCCAACGCGGAATCTTCTTGAAATAGGAGCGTCGATACTAAGACCACACAGGCGATCAAAGCAGCCTCCACTTGAAGGCGACCTGTGTTCTTGTTGCTCAGGTTTTGCTGAAGAGATACAATGGCTTTATTGATCTGTTGCAGTGGGAAAGGGTCGATCAACAGTGGTTGACCGCTCATCAGCCGCATCTGGCGTGATCCCGACTGGGTGAAATGATAGCTCAAACATCCCATCCCAATCACGGCGTGACGAATGGCGGGGTAATCTTCACTCGCTTGGTGTACCAAGCGTTCCCAGAACTCATCGTAGAGGTATCCTGCACATGTCAAAGAAGTGCTGCGTCGGAAAAAGTCCAGGAAATATCGTTCTTTCCAGGTGAGATCCACTTGGCGGGCCAGGACGCGCGGAGTCAGCTCGTGGGAAATAGGAGCAACCTGGGTAGCCTCCACAGCAGAGTTCCTGGCCATGCGAGAAGCCCGAGTCCGTCTGTCGAGAGTCTGCCGATATTCACATTCCAGTCCGCTCTTGCGACACAACGCACAGACCGGCCGACCTTCGTCGCATTTGATGTGACGCGAGCTGTGGGAATTAGTAGGGTAAGCATCGTGGCGATATTGAGGGGAGGTACCGGCATGTTAAGCAGCCTGTCCGGACTTTTGAGTGAGTGATTCGAGTCAATCTCTCTTTCTCAAGTGGCGTCGGGATCATCCTCAGTGTGGAAGCGTGAGGAGACGGGAGGACGGGAGGACGCGCAGGAGGTCAAAGCTTGGTAGAAAGTGGAGTGTCTGACCGCCCTGGATCGAACTACGAGTAGTACTGGTTCTTTTGTATCTTAGTGTCGTGGATTCGAAAATTATTGTTAGGACTCCGACGTGTGCTCATGATGGCTATGGAATAGGCGATTGGGATCCAAAGGTTCGGTTCAGGCCACGGGAGTTGGGCACAATCGAAGAGGCCCTCAAACATCCATCGATAGCAAAACCAGAGACTGGGAACCTTGGGAATTGTAAGTGATTCTGCCCAAGTGAAGTTGTATATGACATGGGAGGAGAAAAGAAAGCCCCTTAAGTCGGTACTTAAGTACTTGAGCCTCTGTGGATGTATCTTCATTCAAATGCAGTTCCTGAAGTCGCTCATGTCCAATCAACCTAGTAGCCTATCTCAATTTTTTCCCAATGACTTAATAAGATACATATCGCGATCGGAGTAAAGGTAACATCTATAGTTTTACTTTAGATTACTTAAGTATGTTTACTTTCAAGGTTCCAAGGTGGACGACCTTAGAACCAAAACCAAGCTAGTATCATGGATTTCCATGGGCTCCGTGGCGCCACGGCCCACGGGATTTCTTATGGCCTTATGACGTCACATTACCCCGGCAAACCGGCAGCTTCCATGAAAGATCTATAGATGCCTGTTGTACTAGTATCGGTTATCGATTATTTATGTACGAGCTCCATGGCATTCCTCTACTCAGTTTCATCATTAAGTATTTGATTCGATCCTGTTGTCTTACTCCCTATCAGACCAGGAACAGCAAGTCAACACCAAACGATTGTTCAGGGCTTCTAAGTTCATGCAAATGTCGCGTCCAATTGATGACCGCCCTGTTCGAGTGGCCAATTGCTCTGGCTACCATGGTCAGTTCTCATCTCCAAAACAGTCAAAGCATTCCATCTCTGATTTCCACAAAAGGTGACCCTGCATATGAAATGTACCGCCAGGCGACCCTAGGGGATATTGATTTCATTACTGGTGATTACCTTGCTGGTGGGTTAAAACTGCTACGAACTTGCTGCGGTCAATCTCTAACACTGGGCATCGTGAGACAGAGGTGAATCTGGCAAATAACGCCACAGCTTGGAGAAATGGAGAACATCCCGGGTTTGAGATCACCGCCTGGGAAGGCCTCCAACAGACAATCGATGTGATAGCAGAGAAGGGTATTCGTGTTGTGATTAACGGGGGTGCTCTAGATCCCAAGGCTCTTGCCTTGAAGGTTCATGGATTGGTAGGCTTCTCATCTTCAGTGTGAGTTCCAATGGCCATCGTCTAACAGGGTATCGCAGGTCTCGGAGAGAAAATACAACTTGAACGTTGCTTACCTTTCTGGAGATGACCTCTACCCCGATTTTGGACCGGACATGCCAACAACGAAGGAAGAACTACAACATCTTGACTCGGGAAATCCCTCTGTCACCCCCTCATCCTTAACATATGCATTCCTCAACACAAAGAAAAAGACCTCCATGGTCTCAGCCCATGCATATCTGGGTGCTCGTGGCATTTTAAATGGTCTCAGGCGCGGGGCTGATGTTATTATTTGCGGAAGAGTTGCTGATGCCAGCCCTGTGATCGCGGCAGCATGGTTCTGGCATGACTGGTCCGAAACCGACTATGATTGCCTTGCTGGCTCTCTGATTGCTGGACACCTCATTGAGTGTTCTGCCTATGTTACTGGAGGTAACTTTGCTGGGTTTGATAAGTATGATCTTAACAACCTAGTGGCACCCGGATTCCCTATCGCAGAGATTGCAAACGATGGATCATGTGTCATTACAAAACATCCAAACACTCATGGTATTGTCAATGCAGATACTGTCCGCTGCCAATTCCTCTATGAGTTACAGGGAGATGTATATCTCAACAGTGACGTCTGCGCCTTCATCGGCGACATCGTAATTGAAAACGAGGAAAATGACCGGTATGACAGAGACATCTGCTTGTATTGACCAGGACTGACTGTTAGGTAGAGTTCAAGTTTCCGGAATCCGGGGATCGCCGCCGCCGCCGACCACTAAGCTTGCCGTCTTTTATCCTGGAGGATTTGAGGCCGAAGTACTCTTGAATGCAACCGGTTACGCCACCTCTGAAAAATGGAATCTTCTTGAGAAGCAGGTTAGGCATTTTCTTCCCCGGTCGGTGATGGATGAGATTGAGACTCTGGAGTTTCAGAGGTACGAATCTGCCGTCTACGAGATACGAAAAGGAAGCATTTCATTGACAAAAGTAACACTAGAATCGGAGTCCCTAGCCCCAATCCTGTCTGTCAACTTGAGAGTACTACTTACATGCGTGTTTTCATTGCTGCCAAAGAACAGGAAGTCGTCGCAGCTGTGACAGGCATTTTCAAAGAAATTTCGTTGAAGCATTTCTCCGGTATCTGCTCCGACATCTGCTTTGAGACCTGAGCTAACCTGATTTCAGGCTTCCACTCGTCTCTTGATACTCGGACTGCTGTCCCAAGGCCTTTCATTGCCTATTATCCTGCTCTTGTGAGGCAGGATAAAATCCTGGAAACCATCAACTTAATCGAAAAAAACGGCTTCATCAAATCTTACTGCACCGGACATCCTCCGAAATATAAGAATCTCGAGCCGCGTCACAGCTATGAGTCTCAAGTCAACAACCTTGATATGGAGCCCACCAAGAACCTCCGTCTTGGTGATGTTACCTTTGCCAGATCGGGTGACAAAGGGTCAAACCTTAACTTCGGTATTTTCGTTCCTAATGCCGCCCATTGGGAATGGCTTCAGGTATATATGACTGTCGCCCGCATGCGCTTGCTTCTCGGAGAAGACTGGCGTGACAGTTTCCATATTGAGCGGGTGGAATTCCCACGTATTCATGCAGTTCACTTCGTCATCTACGGCATTCTCGGTCGTGGTGTGAGCAGCTCTAGTCGCCTGGACGGTTTCGGTAAAGGATTTGCTGACTACGTGCGGGATAAGGTGATCGAATTCCCTGTCAGCCTCGTGGCAGGGATTTGATTAACGGCTGTGTCAGTGTTTGTCCAACGGAGATCCCCACCCTGCTGCCTGGGACAAAAGGCCAACTTTCCTTGCCCGAGTAAGGGATGAATAGGACCCAGAAGCCCCTAACCCATCGGGATCCCGTAATCCAGTCTGGGTGACGGTTTTTACTATGGCAGGTAAAAGTGGGTCTAGCGTCTTTTGGGCTGGGTGATATGGGTTTTACAATCCTCGGTGAAGTGACCGCAGCTTTGCTTCCTTTAAACCTGGATTTTGGAAAATTATATTCTCGATGATTATCTACAGTTTTCCTAAATTATAAAAGATTGAACTGGAACTGTAGATGAAAGAGTTATTTGAAAATTTAACAACTTTGATAGAAAACAGATTTCTGAGAATAGTGGATTTGTGATTAAACGGCATAAAAGCGACTTAGATACTTAGGTAGTTTGATAATCAAATAATAAATCGAAAAGTTGTGTTTCTTGTGAATCAGTATTCTGCGCATGAATCCGCAGTAAACTTTGACGGTTCTCAGGAAAGCGGATAACAAAGATAGAAGTAAGAGAAATAGAAAGCTGACAAGTCCACGGCGAGACGAGGATCGGTTCCTCTCCTCATATGGATTTATCACCCTCTCCTTGCTCCATCAAAAGCCATCCGATTTTGACTCTTGCCGTTTGATCTGGGCCGCCTTGAGACAATCCTTCTCTTGAGTCTTGGTCAACCACCAACAGGCAAGGTTGGCGGCTATGGCAGTGATTACCCCTGCCATTGCAATACCAAAACTGTTTTTATATCGATTATAGGCCCATTCGGATCGAAATAACTGCGGGCCAATGACGCCACCAATCTGGCCAATAGAATTTTGCAAACCCCAAGCAAAGGCTGTGCCCGTCGCACCTTTCATCGTAGCTGAGCGCCAGGAAATGAACGGAATGTAGTAAATATTGATGAAGAAGGTTCCAAGCATGCAGGCAACATATAGTCCAGCAGTGGCTGAAACAGTGAAGAAAAGAATAAACGAGAGGATAATTCCTGCGTTATATATCCTATGAAGTGAGCAACACCGTACCATGCCGATGGGAGATACATACATCAACTGAGCTGGTCTAGAAGCCATAGCTTGGCGCAGAATGAGAGCTCCCATTCCCACACCAATGATACCAGTTGCAGCGGGTGGGATGTTGAGTAGCTGGTTGGCTGGGAGTTTTGTGTAACCGAAGCTAGTAGTGAGAGTAGGCAGGTACCATGTCAATGCGTACATGCCAAGATTAATGAGCATTTGGGAAAACGTGAATGACCATTGGATCGGCGACTTGATAGCCTCGAGAACCTCCTGCATGCTGAAGGGCGCGTCTTCTGTTTTTGGTGCCCGATCGCCAAGCCGAGCCTCGATAAAATTCTGTTCGCGTGGACTGAGCCATTTGTTGCTCCGGGGAGATTTTGGATAATCGGGTAACGCAAGGAATATAATACCAGAGAAGAGGATTGTGATAATTCCCTCAATTATGAAAACCCTATTTGCCATAAGTCAACACGCAAGAAACAACAGAATGGGCGAATACGTACCATCTCCACGCACTCAATCCACGCACACCATCCATATAGCTTATGCCGTAGCAAAGCAAGGATCCGAAGATGGAGGAACATTGAGAGATCCCCAGCAGCCATGCAGCAGGCTTAGCCATCTCATCACTGGGGTACCACGAGTTCAGTTGGGTTAGGATTCCGGGATAAGAGCCTGTTTCTAGTATTGCAAGTAAAAAGCGCAAGGCAAGAAGTTCTTGTTGATTTTTCACAGCGGCCTGACATGCGAGAACAATGCCCCAAGACAAGAAAATTCGTGTTTGCCATAGCCTTGGTGTAAATCTTTTGAGTAGCAGATTGCTCGGTGTCTCGAAAATAATATACGCGATCTATCCCAATTAGACTCAATATTTTGAAAAGGAAGTGGTGTAGTTACCGTGTATGTTGAAGATACCCAGTTGTATTGATTAGCAGACATGTGCAGTTCGTTGAGAATATTTGATGATTGCCCTTCCTGGAGAACTTTGATGCTGGAGACATTGTTTGTATCGATCTGATTTGGCTTTGGTTAAATCTCCATGGACAACTCATCAGAAGTGAAAAAGCACATGCCTGTTTAACCATGTACATCAATCCAATGAGTAAAACGAACCGTCTGTCTACTTTGCGCCGAATCTTCTTCTTTTCCTCCCGACTAAAGGTTGCCAGGAACACTTCCCGTTCAACCTCAGTTGTCTCAACAACAAGATCCTTTGGAACCCCACTCATTGTTTGCTGTCATTGAAATGTTATTCCGACTTCTCTATGAGCCCTACCTGCCTTCTTATACTACCTGGTTTCACATCATGCTTGATGATATGGTGTCATATCAACTAATATCACGCTTTTAGATGAAAATTGTTCGTGATGGAGAATCAACTTACTAGGGATAAAATTCCTGAGGTCGGTCTCGATTAAAAAGTAATTCCAGGCATTCGTGGTAATCCAAAGTCTTGTCATACATTATTGAAAATTTTGTAGAATACTTTTCAAGGTTTTGTATTCTTGCAATTCATCTCTTTGAAAAAAAAAACAACGGCTTGACGATAAATTTGGTGGGCTATATGCATGTAATAAAGCCGGAGAAGTACTGCAGCCAATCAAATTCTCGAATTCTAATCGAGTTCAATTGCAAAAATGGAAGAAAATGGCGCCTTCAACGGAGATATCCCGTTCTAACACGATATTGTGCTAAACTGTAAAAAGTCCTGACTTTATACAAGGCCAATACAAATCGCCTGTGACACATTGGGGATCCTTCTACAATTCGCTTAGGATCCTCTTAATCCGCAGACATCTGAGGCATTTTGCTTCTACCATCTCTTCGATTATACCTTTGGAATTTTGTAGAAAGTTTTCGCTGAGAAGATTATCTATCCTATGGGGGTCCCGTCACCCAGGCTGGGTGACGGTTTTAACTAGTATGGCGGGTAAAAGTGGGTCTAAAGTCTTTTGGGTTTTACAATCTTTGGTTATGTGGCCGCAACTTTGCTCTGTTGGAATCCCGAGTTCCGGAAATTCTATTTTTGATAGTTATTTACAGTCTTCATAAGTTATAAAAGGATCAAACAAAGACTGCGGATAGGAGAGTCACTTGAAAGTTTGAGCATTTTGATAGAAGACAGATTTCTGAAAATCCGAGATTTCGGATCTCTTTCTGGGGTACTCTGTACTCCATACTTAAGGAGCTCGCTCGTGCTGACAGTCTACAGGCCATTAGAGAAGTTTATCCCGATTCTAACCAACCTAGTGACGACCAATCAGCCTAGGCGTAACAGGATGCAATCTAGGGTTGAACTATCTTCATGCCAACGTACAGGTACTTACCTAGGTAGTAAGTAGTGGACCCATCTTTAACCCATCCTTCGACACATTTTTGGAACACGATTAAGTGCACCAGAAGCCCGGTTGATCCGCCTCGTCGTATGAATACACCAGAGGAGGCCGAACGTACCCATCAAACCCTATAGCGTTATGAGTCCGTGCAAGCCGGTTGTGTATATCAACGTGCTCCTGAAGTCCATAATACGCATTTGCATCTGTCCAACTTTAGAACTTTAGAACATCCCCCCCCCTCATCCGTTGCCCTCTTCTTATTCCTGTAGAATGCCTGCGGTCTATCCGCCTTGCACCTTTACCACGACCTTGCCTTGCGCACGTTTGGTGGCGATGCGCTCGTAAGCACCCACTGCTTCCTCCATGCTAAATACGGAGTCGACAGGGATACGCAGTCGACCCTCCTCAATAAGACGCGCCAGGTATATCACGTCATCATAAGCTGGCGGCGTGCTAAACATGATATAACGGCGCGGCACGCCACCAAGCCATATCGGCAGCCAGTTATTCAGCAATGCATTGCGAGCCGACGCAAACATACCTTCAAACACGCCGATATTGATCACAGCTCCATCGACCTTGAGATAAGCTGGTGAGTTCACGAAAAGTGCCTGCGTACCGACACAGTCGAGCACGAAGTCAAACGGCCTATCACCATATTGACGCGCTAGGTAAGCCGGTAGATTATCATGATTACGGTAGTCAATAAACTATATGTACATCAGTGATGTTATAACGCAGTATGGACAATCTGTACCTACCTCATCTACGCCCAGATCACGCACCGTGAACTCATTACCGCCGCTGGCTATACCGACCACCTTCGCACCACGAAGCTTGCACAGCTGTAGAAGCAGTGAGCCGACCGATCCACTAGCCCCATTGACGAGCACAGAATGACCCGCACCAATACCGGCTGTGCGTACCATCCTGAGCGCGACGCTGCCGGAACCGCTAATCCCCGAGGCCGATGCCATATCAACACCAGCCTCGATGTTTACAACCTGGCAGGCGGGTATTCGCACATATTCCGCCAGTACACCACGGCCCATGAAGATGGAGCCAGGAACACTCTCAAAGGCGACGACATGCGAGCCCGGTTTGCGCATCTCTGCCGGTGCGTCCCCGCCAGCCGCCACCACCTCACCAGAAAGCTCAATCTCCGGCACCCATGGACTGTTGAAGGGCAAACTGGGCAGTAGCTTCATCATAATCTCCGTACTAAACTGCAATGACACGTGTGATACGCGGATCAGGATGTCAGATGATGAGGCTGTTGGTATTGCAGGTGTGGGATAGTTCGAAATTAGCTTCAGCGTCATCAATTGCAGAGCGACGCATGACGTATGAATGCCAAGCGTTGCTTGCCACAGTGTGGCTGGCTCAAGTGGCGCATGGAGAATTCCTTCTTCAACAGACTTGCTGATAAGTGTATGCGAGAACTTAAAGGATATCTTGTGTTCCTGAATTATATAAGACGAAAAGAAAAACCAGCTTTTCGAGTGCACGGGCGTATTTACGGGACTTGTTTTTTTTCGATCTTCGACTGTCAGCTGGTTTTAGCTTCCTGGTTGGGTGGTAATATTGAAGAGAACCGATAAAAGCGCATTACGAATGAGCCCTGGAGAGAGCCTCGTGTGGAGAAGGTTCTACTATTTCTATTTCGGGAACGTTTAATGGGATTATACGAAGTACTCCATCCGTGCCCAGGTTACGGTGTTTACGAATAGTAGCCGGGGCAGTGTGGCGCATGCTCGTATAGACAATACCATTAATACCTCATCACCCCACATCAATCTTCTCCTACATCTACGGTCCTCACATCTTACCTTGCGACCACTGAGCGAGGTGCAGTGTAACCTTTAGACATGGAGACGTTGCCGGTGACTCTCCCGCTCAGCCCTGAGTTTAGCTCAAGAGAGCGTATTAGGGTGCGTCATTATTTTTGTTTTACTTGACTGATGCTGAGGTGTTGTTAGCCCCGTCTGACCTCGGCCAGGACCACCTCACGATCATGCGAAAGTTTAAGCGCATCTTAGAGGATGCGGAGAACCCTGGTAGGCACGCGGATAGATTCCCGCCCCCTCCACCTGGCGTTTCAGGCCAGGAACAAGAGGGTATGTGGAGAGTACAATGCCTGCTTATGAGCGCTGAGGTCCGGTACGCGAGGTACCTTGATATGCTAGTAAGGTGGATTGAATTATGGCGAAAAAGCGCCCAAGGATCAGTGGCCGCTGCCACCATGGTGTGACAATACAAATTTCCGCGCTGTCATTCCTCTTTTGAGCCATCGGGGTATGTACTAACATCATTTGATAGGGACGTGGCAATCATATTCTATGCCCATCTCCTTTCACCATTCAAATTCAAAAGCGACGCCATGATCGACTCAAATTACGGGACTCTTTGGTTAGCAGAGATCGAATTTCCTCTTGCAAGAATGTGCGCAATCAACACAGATAATGCAAGCAAACGTGTATGGATGCGCTTGTATCCCAACATCCCTTATCAGACTGTCGAGTTCACTCCTGCTGGTGACCACGCATACATCACTGCTGAGAATGCCATGGACATCCACGGCTATAGGTGCGGCTCGAAGCACTGCGAGAAGAAAACATATGTCATCCAAATGACTGAATGGTCCAAATACAGAGTTGGCCGAGCCAGGCTCATCTGTCCAGGTTGTAAGACAACGTTCTCTAACAGAGAGACCAACCATGAAACCCTGCTTGAATTCTCCCGTGCTATGTTCGGGTTCCCTGTCTTTGACCTATGGAACAGCCCTCAACGAAAATTTGGCAAGCAAGGTCTTGTGGACCGGATTTTGGCCTTGACTCGGGTTCAAGGCCTAATTCCAGACCATACCTCCCGCTATATGAAGTTCCTGCCGCTTATGAAGGAACATAAATGTACTCTTGTCCCGACGCTCGACATCGATCTCCTCTGGCACACTCACCAGCTCTCACCACTTGCGTACGGCAAGTACTGTAAGACGCAAGTGGGGCGATATATTGACCATGTCGATACCATCTGCACAGTGATGCGCTCCACAGGGGAGGGCGACACAGCGAGCCTCTGGGCAAAGCGATACGGCGAGTCCTACTTTGACCCAGAAAATACGGCCAAGAAGGCCGAGATCGAACGATGTAAAGCCACGTGTAAGCAGAAGGGGGAGGCCATGGTGGCCAAACTGACCGCGTACGACGACAGCCACGAATATATGAAGAAAGAGATCGACGAGAAATCCGAACGTCTCGCAGCCAAGCAGGCCAGCATACGCGACACACATACGGCGGTGAGCGCGCTCAACGCGGCGGTAGCGAACCTAGAGACAGCGAGAGAGTTCGTCAAGCCGACATTGCGGCTACTCGAACTGCGTTACTACCGCCGGTCGCAAAAGGAGCAGCTGTGGAAGCTAGAAGATCAACACCGGTCGCTGGTGGAGGAGTCTATACACAAGCGGCGCGAGGTGGAGAGTCTCGAATATGAGATGGCACGGGAGCAGAGGCCGGACTATAAGGGATGGGAGGAGGTGCAGAAGGCGAGGCGGCTCTTGTCGAAGCGGCTCGTGTTAGAGGTGGCCTTAGAAACAAAGGCAATCTGGAAAGAGCAGCTAGACAATGAGGAGCGGTATGACTGGTCGTGGTACTCGATCGTGCCATCAGAGGTGCAGCCTTGTGTGCATCCCATTGTGGATACAGCGAACGGCGGAAGTGCGTACATCCAGACGTGGGAGGATACATATAACCCACCGCGTAGCTACGCAAGGTATTCTAGGAGAGATGGCAGCGGAGCAGGAGCAGCAGGAGCAGCAGCAGGAGGAGGAGGAGGAGGAGGATACGATGGAGGAGGGTGCGGTGGAGGCGGATCCGGGTCCGGGGGCGCTGGCGCTGGGGGCGGATGCGGCGGAGGAGGATGCGGTGGTGGATGCGGCGGTGGCTAACGCAGGTATGGTGAGGGTTTACTACTACGGATGTGGGTGCCGCACATATTGTGGGAATACAGTGTACACTATGTACCTAGTGAAGTGGGAAGAGCGCGATGGCGGTCCGAAGTCCTTAGAGTATACTCCAGGCTCTCTTAGCAACCTTGGAACATTGGGAGAGTGGTTGGGGTTACTTTGTTCGAATCACGCGAAATATAGGTATCTTCGAAGTTTGTGCATTGATTTTCCAACTGCATGACGCCGTGTCTAGGTGTATTTGCACGAAAAAAGTGTCAAATCGGCATTGCCGAGGAAAAGCAACACCGAGAGTAGACAAAATACCAAAGTGTCGAGAACTTAGGTTTGCATTTATCAACATCATGCATCCTCAATGGAATCAGAACCTAGGTCTCCGAGTGGATAAGAGACAGCTCGACATTTCCATAATCCTCTATGCTTTCCTTGCTCATTTTCAGGTTGATCCTGTCGCCTGAGATGCTTCCAGTGTATCTGAATAGCAAAACCGTTTAGCAACACAGTACCAAAAACAACACAACACAGTGAAAGCTACAGCAAACTGATCAGTGGTATTTATCTTTACCCACGAATAATTCGATCTCTTCGCCATCTAGCTTGGTAATGGTACCAACCGTGGAGTAATTCGCTTTTGGGGTGTCTTTGTAGCTCACGGTCCATTGACCGGTTAGGACGGCCGATGTGTCCTGGCGGAAACCACTACTAGTCGAGAGGGTGATGACCTTATCTTTGGTTGTGTAGTTAGTATTGGTGTTCAATTTGCCCCGGTAGACCCTCATTCTCGGAAGCGATAAGTTTGAAAGGTGGTAGTATGTATCCTTCATGAGGGACGTCTTCTAAAATGTGCTGGTCTTTCGGGTTATACGAATCGAGCCATACGTTCGTATTGGCGGGGTGACCCGTAAACGATGGGCCGTGGTACGTTTGGGTGGTATTCGACCCCGAATGAGAGGTATCGAACAAGTGACAAGTGTCTTATCCGTGTTAAAAGTAGGTAAGGTGACGGTATGGTTTGCAAGCTTTTGTCAAGCTGAGGGAAGGTTCCACAGCATGAGCTGTCTGAAGTCAAGCCCCTCTATATGTAGAGATGAATCTATCCATGGGTTACATCACATTATGTGACCTTCAAAACCTAGAGGGGTTTCAGAATCCTTTATCAAAACATGTTATAAAAACGCCCAAGGTTTCTCGAATCTCGAAAGAATTATCCATATAATATAAGTCAGAAGAGAGATATAGAGTATAATAGATGATAGCTGGCCATGCAGTGACATGCAGATGCTGGTGAGATATGATGAGTGCTACTTTCTGACCGCTTCTTCGAGGTGACGATTGTGATGTGAGTACATAACCCATTAAGATCATCGGCATAATCTTCTTCCGGTGGTCCAAATACGCCACCCTTTGTGGTAGTGTAAGCACGGACCAGATTGGCTGTTTGTGATACCCATAGCCGCGGAAGGACTTCTTGGATGTTAATAGGCTTACGGGACCTGCTTGCCTCTTTCTTTCATCACAAGTTTGGACTCAGGGGCAGGAGAGAGCGACTTTCGGATTGTGAAAGAGACAGGATTTTCGTCATGCTCAGTAAATTGCGGTGAGCCTCGATGAGTTGTTAGACACCTACACATGGTGCATGGCTCCATCACTTTGTATCCTGCAGCTAGTATTTGATGTAATCATGAGGCTCCTAATTTCCCAGATTCCATATGAAACAAGTCTCGGTATTTTCAGTTATCAAATTGGCTCAACAAGTGATTCGACCCGAACTTTTTTCACGGGGTACTCGTTGAACTTAATAGTATAGCACCTAAATGCATCTCTTGAATCCCCATCTCAGCTGAATATCTGCAGCTCATAGCAGCAATCGTAGCTGAATATGTTGAGCTGAGCTTTACCCCACTATCTTCACTTGGCCCGACCCACACCAAATTGCTATCCGTTTCGTAGTGCCTTGATTCATCATATGCAGCCCGTTTGTGCATTACGTGGCCGAATCAAACTTAATTCCTCCTATAGCCTTGTCACATATCCTAAAATCTTACTATTGAAGTATCCACTTAAAATTTTAACGCACTGCCCCTCAGTAACTTTGAGAGCATGACGGAAGCCTTTTCCGTTCTTCATGATATATCTTTACAACGATTCGGGCTATTTTGGAGGTCGCTATTTCTAGAATAAAGACAGTATAGGAAAACAAAGATTTTTCACTCCCTACTGGAAATCGCATAACGTCGATCCTAAATTGCGTAGTGTTCGTGACCAGAATGTTGCGTGGGTAAGTTGCACTTGGATTGTACCAATCATATCTTTATGCAGATATGCAGTTGCTCAGGCCGAGTAGGCAACTGCAGGCTATTTCCCATAATGACATCTCTTTCTACTGAGCATCCACTTAAGAGGGACATACTGCGAGCGTCCGAGCTCAACGGAACGAATATTTAAGCGATCTGGTTCAGGTAAAGGAAATTTCTTATTTCTCAACACAGTCATATCTCATCATAAGCCCTAGCTTCCTTCCTCACTTTTCAAACATATCCTTTGCCCTGAAGTCTTTTTGGGAAACTACAGTCATAGTCATGTCATGGTACGAAGTTGGCAAAAACGCCGGCTGGAACGAGGGCTACGGTGCTGGGAGGGCGGCGGCGTTGAAGGAGCTCAACAATAAGGAAGAAATGGACAAGACCAAAAAGGCTTGTTTGGAGGAACTGCTGCAGCAGGACCCGAAGGTTAGGGACATATAAGGATCCTGGATTTACTGGCTCTTCTATCAAATCGACTGACACAGATTGCAGAACATATACTACTCTTCGAACGACATTCGAGACTTTCTCGCTGATTTCTATAGAGCAGTACGTTTAACCCTTGTTATAAACAGCACTGGAGTTTTTGAAAATTACTAAATCCCACAACTTCTTTATATAGGACTATGACGGTGATGGTGAGATATAACCACGAGAGTGGAAAATACTATATTGAAAGCTGACCGCACCTTTAGGGCGAATTACCTTGCAAGAACTATGTCAACACTGGAGACCCAACGACGAGGAAACTTACAAGGAAGTTGAAGCCGGTTTTAACGAAGTGGAGGTAACTGGGGACCAGAAGCTAAGCCTTGCTGGTAAGAACAACTCCATATTATCATATCATAGGAATTTTAACCAAGTAAATAGAGTTTTTCATCCTCGGCTTTCTTGGAAGCGATCGCAAAGATGGCTACGTGACTGCCAAGAAGGTCGACTCGTAAAGAGCTCTCTATATGCGGTGCTTTGCGAGGGATCAGAGATAAAGTTATCTGCTGAAACTCTGAATCCTCCAACCTCCCACAAAGCTTGGACGAGAACATGTTGAGGGTAAAGAGTGTTGAGAGAGCACGGGGATCGAAAGAACCGATTGAATTTATCTCTAGGAAGAGAGAAAGAAGAGAGGAGAGAAGGACTATGGAGATAGGATCTTATCTACAAACGGGGGTTGTGGCAAACATCCCTCACAACACACCCCCTGAGACACAACCCAAAAAGCACCTTCAAATCAACCTCTGATTCTCAAATACCCCGTTTTTAGTGTTTTTAGCGTTTAGTGGTTTATTCCTATTGTAAAATTCAGTGAATTTACTCATCCCCTAGATCTCCAAAACTCATCCCCCCTCTTCTTCTTGGATTCTAGATAGACCTAGCAGTGACCCTCCGGGTGGTCCATGACCTTGGACCCTCCACCTTAGCTATCCAAGGGCAGGGACGGCAGCGTGGTAGACTGGCAGGCAGTAGGATTTGCTTAAGTATGGGCAGAAAAAACCCTCAAGAGTAGACTGGCAGCAGTTTTCTAACCAGACTACATTCTGATCCAGTGGGCGAAATCGCCTGAAACTTTCAGAAGTTCTATTCCCATATCTGAATTATACATAGTTCGAATCTGGGAGCAATCAGCATACTAGAAAGATCGTACAATGTAGCTAAAATTAACCAAAAACCCTCGAAAGGTTTTGTTAGAGTGCGACCAGGAGGCCCACTTTTTTTATTTTCCAGGGTTTCTAGATATACAAACCACACAAACAGAATACTGTCTACATATATTGTACAAATATATATTTCCACATACATACTGTCCATTTACAGAACACCCACCATCATCCACCACCTTTTGAAATTCTCAACACTACAACTTTACACTACTACATCTTTTGATTATACACTATAACTTACAGAATTTATACAATTAATCAGAAAGTCTATCCAAAAACAAAAACGGCAGCATAGTAGACTGCCAGACAGTAGATTTTACTTAACTATAAACAGAAAAAACCTTCAAGAGTAGACTACCAACAGTTTTCTGACCCAGACTATATTCCAATCCAATAGATAAAATCATTTGAAACTTTCAGAAATTCTATTTCAGCATCTAAACTATATATAGTTTGAATCTAAAAGTAATCAAATTAATAGAAAAGTCGTACTATATAACTAAAATTAACCTTAAAACCTTAAAGGATTTTATTAGAATACAACTAAGAGACTTACTTTTTCTATTTTTTAGGTTTTCCAAGTATATAAGCTATATAAACAGAATATACTCTACATATATTATACAAATATATATTTCTATATATATATTACTTATTTACAGAATACCCACTATCATCTACTATCTTTTAAAATTCCTAACATTACAACTTTACACTATTATATAAACTTCAACAAAGCCCGCCATAAATACCACTTTCATACCCATACGGATTATACAGGTTTGATAGATAGATCAAACAAGACAAACAAAGAATTTTAAAATACACTATATTTGAATCCTATATTTAGATCTTATATATAAATAATATTTTATCTTTTTAATATATTTATAATATATTAGTATAAATATTTATAAATTACCAACTATAATTCAACTATATAATTTATTTAATAATTTAAATAAATTACAAATATTCTATAGAAATTAAAACAATAGAATATTAGGAGTAAATATATATT